TACACCCCAAATCGGACCGTTTCGGGTGGGCGTGCGTAGGAATGGTTTCTCTTCAGACGAGAAGTATATTAAGCCCAGACGCACACTAAACGAATTCATTATACACATTGGGAAAATTAACAAAATTACTCGACAAGGTTCCGCAAAAAAAGCAATTTTTGACGGAAAAATGCCAGGCCTGGGATTCGAACCGGGAATTGATTTCTCGGCGTATATTCGAGGTTTACCTACATGATGCAAATGTCGATATAACTAACCATGCACAGCATAGCAATAGGTCATCATCAAAATATTCCAATCAGCGTGGGAATATATGCACATGGTCAACTACATGTGTTGGTGAAAATATGAAAACTATGAGTAAACTCGGGGAAGTAATCCTTGGTTTTCGTACACTTCTACCCAAAATTGTGTGTGGATTTTCATAATGTAGTGAGGAAACTTACGAGCTCAGTTTAGGAAAGCAAACATATATTCCCACACTGATTCTGATAGTGTTCTTCATCTTACGTCTCCCCTTCATCAACGGCGTGGTGTTGTCTCGTTAACTATCACCCCTGTGCTCTTTTCACTTCACACTGTCGTTGGGCGCTTCCTGGGAATAGAAGGTAGAGTTCCTGAGGATTACACTAGGGGGTGGGAGGGGATCTATGGAAAGTGTGTGGACATATTATGGATTTACCAACACGGCAGCCAAGAACAAGCAATAGACTCATACCTCCGCGGCTCCTTCACTTGTGCACACGTGCAAAGTTATGGAGCAGCTATACTCATTGGCCATTACGGACTCGTTAGTCGTGTTGGGGGAGTTGTCTAGATCATCGTTCAACACAACCATAGGAGAGAAATCAAACCTTAATCTTGCTTAATTGATCAGGCTGCTACGAGTTAGTATAGAGCAAAACGGTCGGGCGGGCGACGACCAAAGATATGAGGATACAGCACGCATGCGATAGTACTCACGTACACACATTAGAGCCTGCTAATCAACAATAACATAAGGAGAGGTTGAAGATGATAAAGTAGGACAGCTATGGGAGAGAAAGCTGTTGTAAAGATGCCGAAAATAAATAGACGGTGGTGGTGGGATTCGAACCTGGGTGCTTTCGTTTGTAGTCGTATGGATGAGTTAGCTCTGCGGACTCGAAAGGCTCGTGATGAGGAGAAAAGGTGGAAGGAAATTCACGATGTACAGTTTGTGAGTGGCCCGAGATTGCTATAGTTAGCTCCATGTGACCTGCCTATGGTTAGATGATAATCCCACTAAAGTGAGTGCTTTAAATTGACAATGAATGTAAAGAACGTGTGAATGTATACCGAATATGGGAGATTCCTTCGCTTGCTCAGTGGAATGTCTCGCAGACGCTCTTTGAGAATTGCAGGTTTTACTGAGTATCATTCATAGTATTTCTTCGTTATGCAAAGTTGGAAAGCACGAAGTGCTGGAAGGAACAATGCTCCTCCTCCCTTCTCACTGTCTGCATTGTATTTTATACAACTACTTGTTGGTATCCTCCATTGTCTCTGGTTGGTGTGGTACCAATGGTGTATACCTTGTGCATGCGTGCTAGTCCCGCGGACACAAGCCCTCTAGCTGGCGAGATTAGCTAGTGGTGCAAAGTTGTCTGCTGAATTCTGATGTTGATTGGATTTATCCCTGTAGTATCTTCCTATTCTCAAATCAACTCAGTGAGTGTGAGTTGAACTCACAACCACCCGACGTGGAGGGAACCATTTTTCGCCTTCATTTTTGGCTAAATGTTCGTGATTTGCCCATTGAGATAAAACTACACTGGATATAATTGCAGGACTATGCCTTACAAGGCCAGATTATATTTAGCCGTCGAGGGCTATCTTCATCATAAGCTTATCTAAGGGATTTCTTCAGCCTAGAGAGACATATTGTGTGTTACGGGGGATTGGAACAGCGACAATAATGCAGCAGCATCTTACATAAATGGAAGATACAATTTATTCACATCAAGGTTGGTACCTATTTCAGTCGATTTCGAGATTCACCCATAATAATGGGAAGCGACTAGTACCAATTGAATCCTTATCGAATTTCAGGAGTAATGGCATCAGCCGATTTCTGGTTCATTACTCCTGGTAGGAGCTATGATCCATTTAGGACCTAAATTTTAGGTTTGTCCGTTAGAATACTCGCTCGGAAAGAGCAACCTAGGTTTGCTAGTAAGTATTGATCTAGTGGTATGCTCTTTGGCTATGAATCCTAAGGCCGCGGGGTGAAAATCTTAAGTTATACCTCGTAATATTACGAGGTATAACTTAAGATTTTTAATAGTCTAATATAGTGCTATTTCTACGTATTGTTGGATCTGTTTCGAGGCGCGTGAGAAGTATATGCAACTTTCTATACCCCTATCCCCAACATTATAGTTCGAGTCGTCTATTCATAGCAAATGGCTCGGCTATGTAGCGAGCCCCATATAGTGGAGTCTACATTGCCATCGAGTCGGCCGTAGGCAAATATCGTCAGGTAACTACCCTACTTCGAGCTGCGTCGCAGCACTCAATTTCAGCGGAGGTCGTACAGCGTAAAGGTCGAACACCCAGCCTCATACCCCATGACGCACGAGTTCGATACTGGTCGACCCTCATAAGAGGGAATGCCAGCGCAGGGAAGTTGGTCGCTGAGTCAACGATGGTCGATGGTTAAGCTGTCTCAGTCTATCGTTAGCGTTAACAGCTCTAATTAGAACTCCTAATTCAGTATGAGCACACTCATTACATTTTGATTGACGAACCGTAGGAACATGGAAATAAACGATTAGAAGGATAAGTAAGGGGACGATATTGACTAAGGGGGCGATGTCATGAATAATTTCAATGGATTTCATCCGGATTGTCTTACGAAGCCGTGAAGATGGACACGGCCGAAGCCGCTTCATGCGTTACTCGATGGTAGGCGGCATTGCCCGATGTAGATTCGTGAGTAGGGTACTCAGTGAGTCGCTGCATCAGCTCCGATTTGGGAGTCTAAGATACCTTATCTCCGCTAAACTCTTTTGGAGGGCTAGCGCATCGGACTTGCTCGTTTCGAGCATTCTGGTCAATTCCTTTACGATGCGACATTTTTCGGGCAGCTCGGAAATACTAGAATATTTCCAGCTCGGCGAATCGTCAGAGACGTGTGATTGTGGATTCGTCTCTTAATTGACTCTCTACACCAATTGATTCTGGGCTCCAGAATCTTTGAAATTCACTGCTCCAGAATCTGCAGCTGTGAACTTCGGTTGAGATACTCAGGTTTATTTTCCCACACTTGAAATGCATGTTGCCTTATTACCCTTCCTCCATCTCATGGGGGTTATGATTCTCTCCCATCTACCGGGGGTATTCTCAGCAGCTCAGGGAGCTGCAGTAGTGGTTATCGAAGATAATAGAGGCAAGCAAGTCCCTATAAAGGAGGCGTTCCGCCGTACCTCCCGCGACGTCACCGAGGGGAAAGGACGGGCCCACCATTCAGTGGAGGAACTGAGTCGACTATCGGAGTGCCTCGGAGAGTCGGCGGACTCGGCGCTGATAACGAACTTAGAA